TCACATGTCTCAGCTAGACGTGCCAAGTGTCAACGGATGACCGATTTTAGACGCTCAAGCAAAATAAATGAAAAATAGACGCATGAACCGTCTTGTAAGACGCATGGCATTTTTTAGAGTGTATAAAATAAAACCAAACACATACTGATAAAAATTCGAACTTCCATTAAATATAAACAATTCTTCCGAAATAATTAAAGCTACACATCAATAGATGCCGAATTGAATTCTCTACAAGATGATGTATAGCTTATCTTCGGGCAATGTATCCTTTCTTAAAAAATTAATTTTTTTCACAATTTTTTTCAATTTTTTTAAGAGAAACGTCATAATTCACAGGATATCATCCAGATGGAAATGGAATCTGCATTTGACCTATACATCATTCGATGCAGAATTAAATTCTCTACAACATGAGCTAGCCCTCCTCTCCGGGCAATGGACAATTTCTTTTGAAAAATATTTTTTTTAAAATTTTTTTCCATTTTCTTGGGTGGCGGATCCCAATGTTAGGAATTTCTCACACAGATGGAAATCGATTCTCTCTATATGCTATAGAGGTGTTTGTAGAGAATTCAATTCTCTACAAGATGAGCTGCTCCTGATATCCGGGCAATGGATACTTTTTTTTGAAAAAAGTTTTTTCTCAAAATTTTTTTCCATTTTTATGGGTGACGGATCCAATTGTTTGGAATTTCTCAACCCGATGAAAAACGATTCTCTCTATATGCTACAGAGGGGTTTGTAGAGAATTCAATTCTCTACAAGATGAGCTAGCCCTGATCTCCGGGCAATGGATACTTTTTTTTGAAAAATATTTTTTTTTTAATTTTTTTCCGTTTTTAGGGTAGCGGATCCAATTGTTTGGAATTTCTTATCCCGATGGAAATCGATTCTTTGTATATGCTATAGAGGGATTTATAGAGAATTCAGTTCTCTACAAGATCAGCTTACCCTGCTCTCCGGGAAATGGACAGTTGTTTCTGAAAAATTATTTTTTTTTAATTTTTTTCCGTTTTTAGTGTTGGCGGATCCAATTGTTTGGAATTTCCGACCTCGACGGAAATCGATTCCTTCTATATCGTATAGAGGAATTTGTAGAGAATTCAATTCTCTACAAGATCAGCTAGCTCTGATCTCCGGGCAATGGATACTTTCTTTTGAAAAATATATTTCTTTTTATTTTTTTCCGTTTTGAGATATTTTCTACTTAGAATGAATGGATCATGTAATGGAACTACTAGTTTTTTTTCAACATTACGTAAAAAAAGTTCCCTTTTCTTTCACGTTAGAAAGTCCAAGTTTTCTTCTCCCTATAACTTCGTTGGCAAGCAATCTCAATGAAACTTTGATAATATTCTTTCTTATAATATTTCACTCTTGTTTGACTATTTTTTAGATACAACAGCACCAAAGAAAAACTCAAGAAGTTGCTTTGATATTTGTGCTTTTTTGAAGTGATGTCCCTAAATAAAAGTGATCATAGTCTAAGTTCTAACAGGTAATCTAGTTGGATGTTGTGATTGATCTCATGATTAAACCATGCCGTTTTTAGAGGCTTTCGTGATTATGAAGATGTAAAATGTATTGGCAAAGGTGGCTTTGCGAAAGTATTCTCAGCAACCAATAAATACGATCTAAGACGTTGTGCAATTAAGTGCATCAAGTTAACATTGTAAGTCAATTACGTATTGTTCACAATATATTTTTCTCTCTCGAATCATAATGTAGAACTAACAAGGAAGATGCTCTTAAAGAAGTACGCGTTTTGGTAGATTTGTCACATGAAAATGTCATTCATTATATATATACTTGGATTGGCAGTGACCATGCTGACGATACTAGAGATGGAGATATCAGTCTTAGAAGTGGATGTGATAGCAAGAGTAACTCATCATCGAAGCCACTGCGGTCAAATAATGACAATGATGAAGAGTCGAGTTGGAATAATTTGCAATCCGGAACAGAAAATATGACCATTAATGACAAAAAGAAAGTTGATGAAAAATTTGATCATTTACATGATGAAGCAAATAGTGGTTTTACTTTCAATGAAGATACTACCAATGAGAACAATGACGATAGTAAAATGACATCGAGAAACGATCGACAACAAAACGATCTTATATCTTCCTCCGGAGCGTTCTTTGATATGATAAAACTTAAAGCACCCATGAAAGAATCATATGCTTCGATCTCTTCCCATTCAAATACAGAGGAAGTATCAGTGCAAACGATCGAATACTTGTATATTGTTACAGAACTATGCCATGAACATACTTTATATGATCGCTTACTACCGGAAAATCGCCAAAAAGACGAAATAAATCGCATTCGGGGATTAGAAATATTCTATCAAATTGTAAAGGGAATGGCCTATATTCATAAGCATGTAAATAAACTGGTAAGAAGTATTTTCTTAGATGTAAAGGAAACAAATCTGACAAATTAATTAACTTGAATAGATTCATCGTGATTTGAAACCCAAAAACATATTTTTCTCCTTATCTGACGACCGAATTAAAATTGGCGATTTTGGTTTGGCAAAAATGATAATGACTGATGATAATGACGAATATGATTTGTTAGACAATAACAATCATGCTGTAGTTTCACAAGCTGCTAATCGAAAATTGAATTACAGTATTACCAATCCAGCTCGTGGAACACCTTCTTATAGAAGTCCAGAGCAACAAAACAATGAGCAACCAACACAGAAAGTTGATATTTATGCAATGGGTTTAATCTTGTTAGAATTACTATATTCATTCTCTACGGAATCTGAAAGAAAAGAAGTATAGTGTTTATCGCTGAATTTTTGCTTAATTACCATTGTTTTTTGTATCTAGGTATTTGAAAATGCTAGAAAAGCTGACTTAGAGCTTCCTAACGATTTTGATGCAAAAAACGCAAATAAAAAAGCGGTAAAATGAATATCGTTTCGTTTTTGTAGCATACTTTTTCTTTGATGCTTAGTACTCAAGCTTGATTCGTCGACTCATCACCCATGATAAAGATGCCCGACCAACCTCAAGCGATTTGAAAGAACATATGGAGTCTGATATCGATGCGGAAGATTATCAAACTTTGAAAAATGAAAATCTGCTGATCATAGCATCGCCAATAGCAATGAAAAAAGAAACAGGTTTCAATGCCAATCTTTAGATATAGTCAAAATCAAGTTCTGCAACTGAATCCCTTTTGTTTCAGATGACTGCAGAAGGAAAAGCGATAGCCATATTACAATGCAAACAACCCTATGTACAAATTACAAGAATCAGATCGTGTTATCATCTCATGATATTCAGCATGGGACATTTGATGTTTGCGACATATATAATGTTATTCTACTATGGGAAGAAAGAAAATTAAAATTATTTGATAATCAGAAACAAATAGATGAATTAGACTGGCGCTACAATAAAAGTGTTGGCTTAGTTAGGTGCATACACTGGTCTTCGATTCTCCGTAAATTTTTAATTTTGTGTAACAATCGATTATATACCTTATCGTTGAATTTTAATCAAAAGACGTCGCAATTTACATTAAATATACTCACTCATATAAATCAAATATTAGTTAACTCTTCTGAAAGCGTCAGCAGACGTTCATCGAATCGTAATACCTCACAAACGAATGGTAACAAAGAAAAACTTCGATTTATTACGACATCGCCGTCTTTAGATCATTATCTATTCCTAAACCGTGCCTATCGTCTAATTCAACAATGGAATATGAATTCATGGCAAATGCTAACAGAATGGTCAAGAAAAGCTTTGGAATACAAAGAGCAAGATGAGATTCGGCTGATTACATGCAGCCGTGATGGGTCTTATGTAGCGATGAATGTTTGGCTGGACCGTCGTGAGTGGGTCATTGACTTTAGAAAGATCGACGTCTCAATGTCACGAATAAAACGGATTCATATGTCAAATGATTTTTTGCCAGTTTATCACAAGATACAAATTCCTTTTGACGAAAATCGTTGGTTAATTATCAACGAGAAAAATCAATTTTTAATGGTATCTACAAACTCAGAAGATCTAGATGTCATACCTATTCGAACAGACTACGATCGAGCGACTGGAAATCACTGCGTCTATCTACGTTTTTTTCGTCATAATCAACACTTGGTCGTTGGAACAATCGCAGGTGACAGTAATACTAAACAAGGAGTATTGAATTTTCATAAGGTGATACGACAATAGAAAAGACTTCTACAACAGTAAAAAGCCACGTATTATTAAACTTTTTCATTCATCTTTGAATTAGGATTATAATTTTCATTCTTTTGATTAAAATAAAATCTTAATTCAAAAAGCAAAATAAAATTTTCATCTTGTTCATTGTTATATTCCCATATCGAGTACAACTCAAATATGATGTGCTTCTCTATTAAGTTCATGGGATCCGTGGAGAACCTAAAACGATTGTAATAAAGATCTCTGACTGAATTAATTAACGGATTCAAAATCGAAATTGAGGTTTTGGTTTTGGTATTTACCTGTGCGTGTGAGATTAAGGATCAGGTATTTCTATCATCTAGATTCATATCTTCCTAGACTGCAGGGTTACCAAACCTCCTGTTTTGACCAAGGATCTCCTGATTTTGAAACTTTTCTCTTGGCAAGAAATCTCCTGATTTCAGGAGCTGGTTTTTACATTTTCTCCCGATTTCTCCTGATTTTTTAATGTGACGATTACCTTCGTTTTTAACCCACAGCGATTTCCAAGAGAAAAGAACAAATCTTCGAAGGCGTTGAACTTATAGATAGAATGATAGTCGAAATCAAATGAGCCATGATTTAGTTGGAGCTGAGTTAAAGATTAAAATGAACACTCATTTTCAGTGTTGCCAGATGTCGAACTAGAATGTCCGGAAACTTGCGGAGCTTTTTTTTAAATGTGGAAAAAATGCAGAAAGTTTTTTGGGTCAATTTTTTTCATTTAAAGTACGTTTTACTCTAACGGATTCGAAGCAAAGAT